AAAGAAGCCAAAAAAATATTTCAGGAAATCAATGAAAAAAATGAAAAAGTCACTAGAGATCTAGATAACATAAGAAAGGAAATAATTGAACTTAAAGAAATGAATGCTCCTCTCAAAAGACATAGGCTGGCTGAATGGATGAAAGAACACAACCCAAATATCTGCTGTCTCCAGGAAACACATCTGAACCACAAAACACACACAGACTCAACGTAAAAGGATGGAAAAAAATATTCCATGCAAACAGAAACCAAAAGAGAAAGGTGTAGCCATCCTCATATCAGATAAAATTGACTTTAAGCCAACAAAGGTAAGGAAAGACAAAAAGGGTCATTATATAGTGATAAAGGGAATGATCCAATAAGAAGACATAACAGTCCTAAACATATATGCACCCAACACAGGAGCTCCCAAATACATAAAGCAAATCTTACTAGAGCTAAGGAAAGAAATAAACAGCATCATCATAATCACAGGGGACCTCAACTCCCCACTGTCAGAGCTTGACAAATCATCAAGGCAGAAAATAAATAAAGAAATAATGAACTTAAACCAAACTCTAAATCAAATGGACCTAACAGACATTTATAGGTCATTGTACCCCAAAAGTACAGAATACATATTCTTCTCAGCAGCATATGGGACATTCTCTAAGATTGATCATGTCTTAGGCTACAAAACAGGTCTCCACAAATTCAAAAAAATCAAAGTTATACCATGTACCTTCTCAGTCCACAGTAGAATAAAAGTAGAAATCAATCACAACAGAAACATACAAAACTACACAAAGTCATGGAAATTAAATAACCTGCTGCTGAATGACTATTGGGTCAAGAATGAAATTAAGATGGAAATCAAAAAATTCTTTGAGCTGAACAGCAAAGGGGATACAAGTTATCACAATCTTTGGGACACCGCAAAAGCATTCCTCAGGGGAAAATTCATGGCCATAAATGCCTACATCAAAAAGACAGAAAGATAATAAATTAACAACCTAATGTCACACCTGAAGGAACTGGAAAAAGAAGAACAAACCAAATCCAAGCCCAGCAGAAGAAAAGAAATAACAGAGGCCAGAGCAGAACTAAATGAATCGGAAAACCCCCCAAAAAATAATACAAAGGGTTAATGAAACAAAAAATGGCTTCTTCAAAAATATAAACAAAATCAACACTCCTCTTACTAGGTTAACCAAGAACAAAAGAGAAAGGACCCAAATAGGCTCAATCACAAATGAAAAAGGTGGCATTATAACTGATACCACAGAAATACAAAACATCATCCATGAATACTATGTAAATCTCTATGCACATAAACTAGGGAATGTAGAGAAAATGGACAAGTTCCTGGAAACACACAACCTCCCAAGACTCAAGCAGGAAGAAATAGAACTCTTGAACAGACCAATAACAAACAGTGAGATCAAATCA